GGAGGGGGAGGAGGAGGGAGGGCCCTGGCGGGGCGCCCCGCCCCCCGCGCCAGCGCCCCCCCGCTTCCCGGCCCCAGGCACAGCCACAACAACCTCCGCATCACGCGCATCCTCAAGTCCCTGGGCGAGCTGGGCCTGGAGCGCTACCAGGCGCCGCTGGCGCGCTTCTTCCTGGAGGAGACGCTGGTGCGCCAGGAGCTGCCGGCCGTGCGCCAGAGCGCCCTGGACTACTTCGTGTTCACCGTGCGCTGCCCGCGCCAGCGCCGCAAGCTGCTGCGCTTCGCCTGGGAGCACTTCCGGCCGCGCCGCAAGTTCGTGTGGGGGCCGCACGACAAGCTGCGGAGGCTGCGGCCGCCCCTGCCCGTGGGGGAGGGAGAGGGAGAGGGGGAGGGGAGCCCCGGGGCCCCGGACCCCCTCCCCGGGGCCGGCGCCTCGGGGGACCAGACCGGCGCGCCGGGGCGGGCCGGGGGCCAGGAAGGGGAGGCGGGGGGCCGTGGGGAGGGGGGCCCGGAGCCCCCGAGCCCCAAGGAGAACAAGAAGAGGAAGCTGGACGCCAGCCGGCGGGAGCAGACCCCGGGGGAACGGGGCGGCCAGAGCGCCTCGGACGTGGAGAAGATCGCCCTGAACCTGGAGGGCTGCGCCCTCAGCCAGGGCGGCCTGAGCGGGGGGACCCAGGAATCGGGCAGCCGGGCCCCGGGGGAGGCCGAGCAGCCCTGCCCCCAGCCCCCCCCGGCGGCCAAGGTGGTGGAGGAGGTGAGGAAGAGAAGGAAGGTGGACCAGGGCCCCGGGAGCGGCGACTCGGTGGGTGCCGGTGGTGGGGCCGAGGCCCCAGCCCCCGCCCGGCGCTGCGCCCTGCCAGGGTGCCCCGAGGCCAGAGAGAAGGATAATGAGGTGGAGGAGGCCGGTGGCCGGGCAGAGCTAGAGCAGGGTGCCCCTGGGAGCTCAGCCCCCGCGGGACCCTCGGTAGATAGGGAAGCAGAGGCGGGGCCTGAGGCCAAACCCAGAAAGCCTTAAGGGAAAGGGCCGCCTGGGCATCCTGCCCTCCGTCCTGCCGCGGGTCTGGGGAGCCACGTGGTCAGCTGTTGTCAGCACGGAGCAGTACTGGTCTGTCCCTCCCGGTCACCGCAGCCGTGGAAGGAGCAGATCCCTGCTCTGGGAAGGCCAGGGACTTGGGGATCCTTACCTCCAGCTCACTTCCTGCCTCCCTCCTCCAAGCCACCGCCCCCCCATCTTTGTAAATTGGCCCTCAAGGGTCTGGGGGGGGGTGGGAATGGGGGCTCATTTTCTTAGTCTGGTGCCGAAACCTTTTCTGAATAAACTCATTTGACTTTGAGTGTTTGGACATGGGCAGCAGTCCCGTGAGTGGGCAGGGGAGGGGCACTGCTCTTCGGGAATCCGGGGGTGGTGTCCCCTGGGCGCCCCCCAACACACGAGCACCCTGACCACGCAGCCTCCCGGGGCCTCTGGAGCCGGGCGCTCTGTCCCTTGGCTGCCTTTTGTCACTAGTGTAAGTCTGGGGACCCACGCGCCGCCCCCTTGGGTGGGTTGAGCGGGAGGAGCAGGGGCGTGGCGTGGCCCGGGTCCAGACAGGACCTGTGCCCACGCTGATCTGGGGCACAGTGTCGTGCCTCGGGGAGCAAGGTCAGCGGCGTTCTCTGGCTCCGTGCCCTCTGTCCCTACCCTGGTAGCCCTCCGCATCAAGACACAGCCTCCCCGGGGCCTCCGGACCCTCTGCCCTGGCGTGGGCACAGCACACCTCCCGCTCCTTGAGGATCCCCCTTCCTGACACGCTGGCTCCTCTGCGCCGACACCAGTGGGGTGAGGAGACTGCCGAGGGCCACGCACTTGCCTTTGAACAAGCGAAGTGACAAATGTCACAGTTCTCCTGGGGAAGGGAGCACGGTTCACCCCGAGAGTTACCAGCTGCGACTTGGGCTCCATTCTCACAAAAAGCGCCGACGGTCCGCTCCCGTCCTGGGGGGGAGGGCTGCACAAACTGGAAGTCATTGGGAGGGAGGGCCCCTGAGTTGATGTTCCCCAGAGCTGGAGTTGGGGAGGCGTATGTCCTGGGCTGCTGGCTCCCCTCCCCGCCCCACCCCCACCCCTGATCTGCTGGGAGGGGTAGGACCCCAGGTGCCTGAACTCCGGTTTGGTCGGTGATGCC